TACTTAATGAACACTCACTATGTGTGAAGTCCGTTGACCACTCATTATCACCACTAGGATGCCCTATATATACCTCTTGATGTCCAAAATCCATTATGAGAATCTATCTCCCAAAAGGCCAATTCAATCTGTATTTGCTAGTTGATAAATGATACTATTATCCACTCGGCCACCCAACCCATAAATTTGAGATTCATTTTAAATATCTCTTTCTCCTTCACTACTCACCCTTAAACCTCATCAATGGCCTGCCCACATCCGTTAGTCACCCAATCCTAACAATTGTAATCGCTGAATATCTCACATCTGTGCTGCTTCTACAACCCCTTGGCCTCTATGTTGGTTTATGGTTTCATTGCTTTTTAACTCAATATGACCATCTCTAACATATCCTTCACACCATTTGCAGAATCAAACCTTCTGATAAGCAAATATCATCATTAATTTCTCTCCCTTAAAGCTCTTTAGGAGCTCTGGTGGCTCAGTGCCTAAGGCATTTGACTGCTAACCAGAAGGCTGGCGGTTTAAACCCACCAGCCACTTGGCAGAAGGAAGACTGGGCAATCGACTTCTGTAAAGATGTACCACCTCGGAAAACCAACAGGGGTCACTATGAGTCATAATCGACTTGATGGCAGGGGGTTTGGTTTGATTTTGGAAAGCTCTTGTTGGTTCCCAATCACCTTCAGAATTAAGGTCGAGCTCGTTAGGTTGGCCACAGGATGTTCCTGCACCTGGTCCTTGCACCATCTGTTGCTACTGTATACTCTGCTCTCTGTCCACACTAAAGAAGCATGATAGGACCTCTTATGTAGCAGTTAAAGCACCTGGCTGCTAACCAGAGAAACAGTGGTTCAAACCCACAAGCCACCCCACGGAAGAAAGAGGAGGCTATCTGCTTCTGTAAATATTTGTAGGCTTGGAAACCCTATGGAGCAGTTCTACTCTGTCCTATAGGGTCGCTATGAGTTGGAACCGACTCAATGGCAGGGGGTTTTAAAGACATTATACTCTTTCCTAACTCTACCTAAGCATGGAAAGCCATTTGCCATCCTTCTACACCACCAGTTCTCTTTTAAGTGACAGTATAGCATAGAGGATAAGCATGCGAACTTTTGGGTCAAGCAAACTGGATGCCAGGCAAGTTGTTTCTCTTCTTCAAGCCTCATTTTCCTCATCAGGGTTGTTGTGAGTATCAAATCACATACTTGTATTCATGAATGAATTACGTATTCATTTAGCATGTACTCAAAAGAAAGTCCTGGTGATCTAACTCTGAAAACTCAGCCGCTAAAAATCCTAAGTATTATAGTTCCTACTCTGACACACATGGGGTTGTCATGAGTCGGAGTTGATTTGAGAGTAACAATTTTTTTTTCCACCCTAATGATCTGTGTCACTCTCCCCATCCTGTTGCAGGTTTAGGGAACAGGAACAGCTTAAACTTGCCAATTCACAGTATTCCAGATTCTTCCAGTTTAGACCATCTTTGGATGGCTCTGTCCCTTGGGTGAATATTCAGTCCTTTAGATGCCCTTCCATTTCCCTAGCCCCTCAGATGGTGTCTGTATATTTTGGAGAATGAGCCTTGCGGAAGCGTGGAAGGATGAAGGGAGAGTAGGGGCTTCTTGGTCTCCTGCTGGTCTTCATCTAGGTCTGCTGAGGAATGAATGGCTGGTCAGGTCCTATCTAGGAGCATTCTGCTGGTATCCTCTGCTGTCCTTTTCAGCTGCAAGTTCTCCCTGCAGACTTGGCCCTGCCCCTGTGTAGCTTTCTTAGAACTGGCCACTTCTCCCATTGAGACTCTCCTCTACATGCTCCATCCTGTGGATGCTGGTTAAATATCCCTTTGCCTCTGTTATGATGCACCACCAGCCCTCCACATACCGAAAAACCAAACTCACTGCCATTGAGTTGGATCCAACTCATAGTGACCCCTCCTTGGGTTTCCCAGGCGGATCACTACGGAAACAGATTGCCCAACCTTCCTTCTGAGGAGTGGCTAGTGGGTTTGAACCTCCAGCCTTCTGGTTAGCAGTCAAATGCCTTAGGCACTATGCACCACAGCTCCCATACACATACGCAAACTCATCTCCCCAGACAGCACCATCTGCTCAACGTCCTGCTTATGCCCTACAGAACATATGGAAACTTCTAGGTATCTTCCACACTACATGCTAGCAAAGAGAAGGACTGAGAGCCAAACTCAAGCATACTCACTGCCTAATGGACCAAGCCTCTGATGTTGGCATTTACTGTGATATGGCTACACCTTGTTTCAGGGGAGAGGACTGTTGGGTGAGACACTCTATATGGCAGCCTTTTCCCAGAGTCTCAAATGGGAAATGGGGCAAAAAAAACCTCCTTGGTGTCAGCTCTGTTCCCAGTCTAACACCTCCTTTCTGAGACATGAACCTGCGGACCTGATGAGGAGATCTGCTTTTCCTACTTCCATCCCGTCTTCCCACACTGAGGGGAAGAGGAATGGGCATAGGAAGGATGGTCTTTTCCCTCCCTCTTCCTGCCTTGTCTGTATTTTCCCTGTATCATAATCATCCTGCTTCCCAATGAGGAACTGGCCCCCTTTCCCTAGGGCTAACCTGTAGAATAGCTGCCAGGTAACCTGATTTATGGGGAGAGGAATAAAAACACATGTGTTTAATATTTTCAAATTATTACCTGTGTTTCCCCTGCATCTCAGAGGGTAATCATGGTTCTGGGGACTCTCTGGGTCCCTTTATAGTGGGTGGCTCAGAGCAGTTGTAGAGGAAGATTTACAAGGGCTCTTAGATACCTCCTTCACCCAAATCATTACCTTCCCATTTACTCCATTAACCCCCAATTTCTTTGGATATTGTCCCCTTCATGAGCAGCCTGGAAACAAAATGGGAATATTCACCCCACAAATTATTTGGTACAGTCAATGAGCTCTACATTCTAATTCCGACAGCTTTTGTTCCGATGAGAGCACCAATGATACCCTGCAAATTCCTTAAACATGGGATCAGGGGAAAGTGTGAAACTAACCTAAATTGAGAGGGCACACCCTGAAAACATTAACTATTTGATTTGTAGTCTGTGCCTTTCAGCTTCAGACTGTCCCCATAGAAAGAGGAAGCTTTTGTGAAAGGGAACAAATCGGTAAGGAAATTGACAACTCTGGGTCAAGTAACAGAAATAAGAAGAGGAAGTGTGAGTCTCGATAGCAATGACTACCGTCTCATGCCACCTTAGCTCACTGTGCAATAGGAGGCTTGGTTTTATCTTTTGTACGTGGATTTATCTGTGTACCTTGTAAATCTTGGGTCAGAATGGGACCCTTGTGCATGAGAAGAATATTCTAAACTGATATGGATGAAAGAATCAATTTGTGTACAGTGATTAACTGGAGAAGTAGAAAATAGAATTATTAAAGTACTAATCTAAAAGGAGAGTATAAAGTAGAAAAAAAATGCCCCCTTGTTTGTTATTATCACTACATCCGAGTCGTGAACCACTTGATTCTAATTCCAGAAGCTTGATACCAGAAATAACTTGTTATTACCAGGGAGATATGCAGGAGCATTGTCAGGAATGACAAGATTTTTGCTTGTTTTTTCGTATCTGTATCACAAAATGATAAAGCTGATAAACAACACAAGGCTGTGAAAGAGTGAGCTGGAGCCTAGAGCTTTCTGCCACATATATTGATGCTACGGTCTTTTATAACTCAATTCCTTGCCCATTCCCAACCTACAAAAGGTCAGAGACCATGTCTGATAAGCAGAGAATCCTTCAAACCTCCTTCTCTCTGGAGAGGAGCACTGGACACATTCGGGGTCTGTTTGGTGCTGATGATCTAATCCGTAAACTTTGCACAGTTACTTGCGATGCCATTCACAGATATCTTTTTGCAGTGGTCGTGCTGAGTGTGTACATAGTTGATTCTTACCTCGATCTATTTTTATATTTATCCAGCTCACATTTTATAAGATCACTGTCCAGTTACATAAGTGAAGCCATGTCACCTTGAAGTTCCAATTCACCACTTTCTGGCTTTGTGATCTTCAGCAAGTTACTTCAACTCAAAGGTTTACACATCCTTGAAATGGAAATGGTAAAAATAGTACCCGTCTCACAGCCAATGTATTTGAAAACTGCATTGCAACAACATAGAACGGTTTGAATGTTGACAGCATCCAACTACTACATGGGGTGACTATTTGCTTAATTCAAATGAAAAGAAAATATATGGCAAGGAGTCAATTTATGCTACCAGGTAGCAGTGTAACAATTTGAATTAGGGGATTTAGGGTAAACATAACGTTTAAAAATGGTTATCTTTTTTTTTTTTTTCCTTAAAAAAACTTTTCTGAGGATATTTTGTGCAGAAAAATCTCTTAATTTGTAATCGCTGATCCTCAAATTATTAAAGAAAATCCTACATTGATTAGTAGGTAATATAGCTTCTGCTTAGATTTTCGGTTTCGTTTGGGGAGGAGTTTGCTGCTGTTTGGACAGTGAGGGAGGAAGGTGAAAATTTTAATCCCTTTAGGCGGATACCTTTTCTAGAAGCAGGCCACCAGGTCTTTTTATATTTTTTCTCAACCGTACCCAAGTTTAATTTTAATGGCATAGGACCTTGGTATTGAAGGAGTTAAAGGGTCTCCCCCACATCCTTTAGCATGAACCGTTCTTTTGTGTACACAGCTGCAGTTGGAGCACTAGTCGGAAAGGAAATGGTTAGAGGAAGAGCTGGTTTTCAGACAAGGCGAGTCTGCTAAGGGGGGCGGCGGGGTGGCCTGGGGTTTTACATGCCAGATGTAGGCCTGCCCCAGTGCCTGCCTGAAGCTGCCGGCGTGGTCACGCCGCCGCCCTGCGCGAATAGTGGCGAGGTAATGAGTTAGCAGGTTGCCATGGGGACGAGGCCGTCCACGTGACCCGGGTGCTGCTGCCGGCGCTTTGACGTCAGCGGCCCGGAGGGCGGGGACCCGGGAGGGCGGGGCCAGAGCGGGAGCGGAGAGAAGGGAGTGAGCGAGCGAGCGAGCCAGGCGGCAGGCACCGTCCGCGCGAGGAGCAGGCGAGCGGGAAGACGCAGCCCACCTTCCTCACCGAGCCAGCCGAGAGCGGTTTTGTTTTCTATCTCGGGAGTGCGCCAATGCCTGGTCCGACCCAAACCCTGTCCCCAAATGGCGAGAACAACAACGACATCATCCAGGATAACGGGACCATCATTCCTTTCCGGAAGCATACAGTGCGCGGGGAACGTTCCTACAGGTAATGGGGCTGGCACCGGGAGCGGCGCCGGCCAGGGACGCGGCGGGGGCGCGCGGAAATCCGGGCCGTTACATAATGGAGCAAACCGCTGCTCCCGACCCAGGCTGCAGACGTGTACTCGTCAAGGCGGTGGTGATTCTTTCTATCTGTTTCCATGTGTCACGTTGGGTGTGCATTGAGGTTTCACGATTTCAGATGCCGTTTGCAACGGGCAGATGGAAAGCATTTTGTGAATAGGTTTGCTGCCTGCAAGGGTTCTCCCTCCATCTCTTGCACATTGATAAAAATGCATGCCTCCCACCCCCACCCCCCCTTCAAAGAGAGACAAGCTATAGCACTTCCTTTCCTCCTTCCCTTTTAGATTTTAAAGGAGCCATTAGGTAGCCGTGCCTAAAAACGGAAAATCAGGAGGATGGTGAGGAAGATGTTAGCGCTTGCCGTGGTGGGTGTGCAGGAAAGATGGAATCCTCTAGATTAAGCTGCAGTCAGTGATGTTAAACCGCCAGATTGATGGAGCTTTGTAAGAATTCTGTTCGCTGATTGGTGCAGGGATTGACAGCAGAGGTCACGGTGTCAGACATTCACCAAAATTTTCTCCATAGAACCTTAGGTTTATTAGAAAGAAACTATACTGTAATGAACCTGAAAAAAAAAAACAGGCGCTGTTAATGCATTTTCTTAGGAGGTTCTGGCCTCTGCATGGGTGGGGGAGCCCGCCCTTCTTATTTACAGTGGGAAGGTAATTCCTGGTATTTTATTGAGGTCTGATTTGAGGATGGGACTGATCTTGGTCCTTATATTGTGAGGCTTTTGATTAATGAGTTGGCCTGTACGCTTGGCATCATTTTTGCATTAACATATCTGGCAATATGTTCCAGTAGATAAGCTCATTAAAATTGTTTGCATTGTTTGATAACGATAACAATGTAATGGAGAATGCAGCTAGAGTCTTATGCAGCCCAAAGCCAGACTTCAAGGGAGACTGATAGCTTCGGTCATATTTCCTCTGAAGTTCTTTTGTACTCGGGTAGTTATTTTTAAACTGTTACCTTGATAACCACTAACAATGCTCTTGCTTTGAGGCAGAGCACGCAAACCTCTAAGGCGCATCCTCTCAACTAGTGATAACAGGAAATAACTCTTTTGATATCGCTTTCATCTAAACATTCAGAGGGTATTATGGGTAGAAAAATAATCTCTTGTGTATGAATATTGTGTATCATAAAATAGGACCAAAAGTACCCCCACTTCTTTTCTCTTTGACCAAATAAACTTACCCTTTGGGTACTCAAAAAACAAAACAAAAAAACCTTTACTCTGCCATTTCTGGCAGTTACATAAATACTTGGAGTTAATTTTGGCTGTGCCCCTGAGATCACCAAAAAACTCATACCATATGGTTCCAACTAATGTGTTGAATGGCATCCTTGCAGATTCCAAATGCTTGTTACTCCCTTAATACAAACCAAAAATTGGTCCACAACTTGTGGGATTCTTTGCCTTTTGTGGACCCGTGTGATAGGGCTGCTATGAGTCAGCATGGATTTGATGGCAATGGGATTTTTGGTGTGTGATGTAAAGTTGGGCCTCTTTTGCTTCTTTGCTCTTCCACCTATTTCCTCTGTGAACATCCCAAAGCCCAAAGTAGAATTAAAACCAAAAGGCAAACAAACCAACAAAAAACCTGAATTAGTTTTCATCCTCATTTATACCATTTTTATAGGCAATAAATTTGAACCCCTCATTTCCTAAATGATTTATGAATCCCTGCTATAGCGGTTCAAACCCACCAGCCATTCTGCAGAAAAAAGACAGGGCAGCCTACTTCCACAGAGACTTACTGCCTCAGAAACCGAAAGGAGGTTTCTATGAATCGACTCAATGGCAGTGAGTTTGTATTTTTGTTTTATGTGGATTATTGTTGTTGTTTTTGTTTGCCATCAAGTCAGACCGGACTCATAGTGACCCCTCCTTGGGTTTCCGAGGCAATGTCACTATGGAAGTAGATTGCCCAATCTTCCTTCCGAGGAGTTTCTGGTGGGTTTGAACCCCCAGCCTTCTGGTTAGCAGTCAAGTGCCTTAGGCACTATGCTACCAGAGCTCCTTTATGTGGATAGCAATTGCTTTTAAGAAAGAGTTGGAATTCTAACATAGGGGCCAAAGGAAGTTGCCTAGTTGAGTTTTATTACTTGAACCAACTTGAAATGTCAATGAAAATCATTTGGCAGAAAGGTAAAGTGTAAACACTACCTTTTGGTGATAAGTTATTGCTTTACAATGAAATTTGATTTCTCTCTTTAATTCAATTCATTTCTATTTCCTGAATCATATCTAGCTTTTTTTCTAAGTCCCTGTAATCAGTACCTGAAATGATGTAAAAAACAAAAGTGAATTTTAATAAAGATTTGACTGAACAAATACTTAAGTCACTAAGAGCATGATTATATTTTATGTAATAGGATTACTGGATGCTGTAGTGAAAGATGTCAGAGGTTAAATGGCATCCTAAATTGCATTTGTATTGTTTTATACAAAGGGTGCATGCAAAAACAGACACACTTGATGTTTCCCTTCTCTGCTTTTCTTTTAAAGAGGATGACCAGTGTAATATAACTACTGCTTATTTTCTCAAGGGATATAAGGAAAGGAAAATTGTGACACGATTTTTTTTTTTTGGTATCCAGGAAGCATTCCATCATTATTTTGGCATCCTGAGACTGGAATAATATAGCCATTGAATTGCTGGGGAAACTTGGAAGGTAATTTGAAAGGCAGAGTAGAGATTTGACCAAACAAAGTTTTACTTTAGCTGTAAGCTCAGCATTGTTGTTGCTGCTGTTGTTATGTTCCGTGAAGTTGGACCCAACTCATAATGACCCCTCCTTGGGTTTCTGAGGTGATATCAGTATGGAAGTAGATTGCCCTACCTTCCTTCTGAGGAGTGGCTGGTGAGTTTGAACTGCCAGCCTTCTGGTTAGCAGCCAAGTACCCTAGGCATTACGCTACTGGATTATGAGATATGTTTGGAAGTTCTCTTTGGAGTCCCATGTAGGGCCTCGTTGAGCCCAGAGCCCTGGGAAGATCAGGGTGAATTTTCTTCCTGGTTCCTTTACTGTCTGCTAGGAGCTCTGGTGACATGGTGCCTAAGGCATTTGACTGCTAACCAGAAGGTTGGCGGTTCAAACCCACCAGCTGCTCCACAGAAGGAAGACCGGGCAGTCTACCTTCGTAAAGATTTACCGCTTAGGAAACCCAATGGGGTCACCATGAATTGGAATTGACTTGATGGCAGTGGGTTTAGGTAGAATAGCAAGTCTTTTAGCTTTAGATTTTCCCCCCCACACATAAACATTTGCTTATAACATACAATGATGTTTAACCCCATTCAAATAGAGGTGTTTGTGAAGATAACTTTAAAATGTTTAAAACGAAATATCTTTTTTAAAAAAAAGGAACAGAACAAAAAAACAGTTGCGATTGACTTGATTCCCACTCATGGTGACCCTGGGAGCTCTGGTGGCATAGTGCCTAAGGCACTTGACTGCTAACCAGAAGGCTGGCGGTTCAAACCCACCAGCCACTCCTCGGAAGGAAGGTTGG